AACGCTGGCCAGTTCCCTGCAGGTCACCTGAAAGGATGGACCCGCGGGTGTTTGCCCAAAGGGAGGGTTCCTCACCCACGTCATTGCCCCAGGGATGTTTCTCAGAACTGGAGCCCTCCCGGAATTCTTACCCGGACTCTTATCAGCTGATTAATCCCTGGGTATCTCCTGCCTTTCCCCTGGGCGCTGTTTGCTCTGCCTGCAGCAGCGTTAGCAGCTCTGCATCCTCCTCCAGCCCTCCCAGCAGGAACCACGTACCCTGGGGCAGGATCTCTGCACCTGCCGAGGGCTGAGGAGCAAACAGGAGTGCCCTGGAATGTTCGTGGCTGTTTTTGAAGAGCTGGCTGGCTTTTTGGTGCCATCACAGGCTGCAGGGGGGATGCACTGGGCGGGGTTTTGGTGGTTTCTAAGCATTGCTGGTGGAGAGAGGTGGGGGTTTGGGTGGAAAATGGGTGCAACACATGGTGATGCCGGCACTCATTGGCTGGACAAATCTTCCAGCTCACCTAGTTTTTCTGGATATACAGCTTGGCCAAAAATAGGAAGAGAATGGATGAGGAGGAGAGCTGCCCAGAACATGATTGCTGTTGGTGGCTGGAGCCAGGGCCACATCTCTGCTGGGAAATGTGGTGTCCTCACATGGGCTGAGCAGCTCTGGTTCAGGGGGGATGCACTGGGGAGTTTTCTTGGATGTCACAGCTCCACCTCTCCTTACAAGTTCTGCTGTCCAAGACAAACTAAATAACAGAAGACTGTAAAACCCCTAGACTGTAACCAATCACATACTCTGAGAAATGCAGGCAAAAAACGATTGAACAACACAAAGACACCAATCAATAAATGTGTACTTAGTAGTTTGTAGAATCTATAAATATGTGTGCAAGGTAAACAATAAACAGCTTCTGCTTAATCATATTGGTTAGTTGTCCAAGAGTCCCAAATCTCCCATATTGTAAATGCAGGTGAACCTGGTGGGAAGAAATGATGATGTCTGACTCCAGTTCAGAAGGCTGAATGATTTATTTATTATAAGTATGCTATAATACATTAATATACTATTTAAAAGAGATACTAAAACTTCAAACCTACTTTTTCTAACTACCATATTGAGCTAATTAACAACTTGTGACCCTCTCGCCAGAGTCCAGCCCCAGGTGGGTTGGATTGGCCATCAGGCTCAAACAATCCTCACCAGAATCCAATCAAGCACTCACTCCAGGTAAACAATTCTCCAAACACATTCCACATAGGGAAAACAAGGAGCAAAAATAGAAATTGTTTTCCCTTTCTTTCCTCTGCGCTCCTCTATGAAAAATCCTGAAAGAGAGAAGAATGTGCCTGCCACACTCCCAAATGTCACCTCCCTTGGAAGTATCCAGAGCACCAATCCCACTCAGCAAAGCTCTTCCTTGCCCTGTAACGCCTTCCCTAGGTGCGGAGCTGGATACAAAGAGAAAAGGTTGAACCCCAAAAGGTGCCTTTTCCCAGTCCCGCCCATCCTTTGTGACGCTGGCAGAGCAGGGGACTCACCTTTGGCCACTGCTGGGAGAGCACAGCCCCAGCTGAGCCTTATCTGGGCACCCCGGGAAGGCAAACAGCAGAGCCGGGGCACACGAGCCATGAGGCTGCTCCGAGCCCTGCCAGGGCAGGACACGGTGGGGAGGCAGCGCAGCTCCTCGGGCTCTCCAGGGCCTGTGGGTCCCTCCCAGCGTGGCTCCCCTGCAGCCTGCACAGCTCTCCCGCTCCTGGCAGCCCCCAGGTGAGTTCGGCTCTATCCCTGAACCTGTTGAGTTGCAGGATGGGAAGGCAGGTGTGGCAGAGCTCCGTGAGAAGCCCCTTCCTTCGCATCAGATGGGCTGCATTAATTAATTAATCAATCTGCACTGAACCCGATATGTTCCTCGCACAGGTTTTCCATTAGGAAGGGCTTTCCAAACGTGCCTGGTGTTAAATGTGATGAAGATGGGGTTGGTGTGTGTGCACGTGCATTGGCTTGATTGCAGCTGTAATTTCCTTAGAGACTCAAAAATAAACCGGTGTGAGTTCACAGACGCTGTCTGTGTGGAAATCAGGGACTGGCCTGGGGTTATTCCCAGAAACAGGGTGGGTGCATCCCAAAGGCAAATCCCACTGGCTCTCAGAGGAGAGCTACAGAGAGGGAGGAGGTCTCTGCTTTGAATCCCCAGGGATTCCAGGAGCTGTGCTGATATGGATTCAGTGGCAGTGGAGTTTGCCAGAGGACTGCAAGGTGTGCAGTATTTGCTCGTGGTGCTTGAACTGCAGTTTGTGATGCAGCTCCCGCTTCGGAGAGTCTAAAACTGAAATGAGAAAACTGAAATGGGCTCAAGGGCTGGGCAAACTGCAAGCTGTAGGTGCTGGGATTATTTATTTATTTATTTGTTAAAAATCCTTTTTAGCCAATGAGAAGTTTTAGTTCTTGTTCAAGCTGTTCAAGCTGAGCCTGAGTCCCTGTGGGGCTGGTGGTGCCCCATGGGCTGTCCTGGGCTCATCCCTTTGCGCACCACAGGGACTCCAGGGGTGTGATGTGCAGGGGGTGTAGGGCCAGGACCCAGCAGCATCATTGCCCGTCTTTGGTGGCAAAATCCCACTGCATTCCCGGAGCCTGTGTCTCACGGCCACCTGGAGCAATTAGCATAGGCACCTCTAGTAATCTCCCTTGTAGTCTCCCAGCCGTCCTCATCCTGCACTTGAAACACGGAAATTGCCCCAAGAAAAGAAATCTCTTTACAAGATGGGCCATCAAGGCAGCAGCCCATCCCTGGAATCATCCCACTCAGCAGGGTAATCTATTCAATGGCCGGGATTTATTTTTAACATTCAGCTCCCCAGTCCTTTTAACTCGAGCAGGGAAGAGAACATTTCGATAACAGCAGCCTCCAGGTCAAATGTGATGAGAATTCATAACTCGCCACACAGGGGTTTTGGAAAACCAGCCAAGCAAAACAATTTCCCGGAATGAGCCGATGAAGATGCGTGTTTCTCTTCACAATGTCATGCACAGAGCAGGGAGGTGTTGGAGTGGCTCCTCATTCTCTGCCCACAATTTGCAAATAAAATGCCTCCCAGACTGTTTGAATTTGAAGGACTATTGTGAGCACAGCTTTGCTGGGCTGCTCATAAAGACCTGAGACATCAGATCTGTCGGCCATCAAAGCAGAAATATGAATCCGGTAATGGGAATGTTCTCATGGTCCCAACTCTAATCAAAGCAACGCCAGGGGTTTCTGCTTCAGGAGAGTGGAATCAAGATTTTAAAAGGAACAGAGAGACTCCAGTCCCTGGTCAGCACTGGAGCAGCAGCAGGAATGATTTACAGGGACATGGAGTGGCAGGACAGGGGGAATAGCTTTAACCACCAGAGGTTAGATGGGATATTGGGAAGGAATTCCTTCCTGTGAGGATGATGACGCCCTGGCACAGGTTTCCCAGAGCAGCTGTGGCTGCCCCATCCCTGGAAGTGTGCAAGGCCAGCTTGGATGGGACTTGGAGCAACCTGGGCTAGTGGGAGTGTCCCTGTCTGAAGGGAGCTCCACTGTGTGGCCCCAAGGATTGGGAAGACCCAGGTTAGATTGGAAGGATTCCCCTGAACTTTCCTGGCCCTGGAGTCTAAGGGGGTGAACTCCAGTGGCAGGGGGCTGGAACAAAATGAGCTCTTAAATCCCTTCCAACCCAAACCACTCTGGACTGGAAAACAAACAACAACCAGAAGCCTGAAAATGTGGCCAAGCTGAGATTGTGAGAGGGCTACCAGGGAGCAACTTTTTCTTTCCATCTTCTTTCCAAAAGACCAGAGTAAATTATCCACACCTGTCTGAGAACAAGGCACAGGCGGGAAAGGCAAGAGAAAATGTGGAGATTGAGCACTGTAGTTTATTTTAAAGTCAGTGTTGGTGTCTCCCAAGCCCTGCAGGGCTGGGCTGGGCTGGGCTGGGCTGGGCTGGACATGTGTGTTCCACCTGAGCCCCACGGGGCAGCACACGCTGCCTTATCTGCAGGCTCGGGAACGTGGCCTTTCCAAACCGCGGATATTTGCTCTCCATTCCCTGTCTTCCGCTCAAATTCCATATCTGCAGGGAGGCCCCAGGTGCTGCCACTCACAGCAGAGTGCAGGGACAATGAGAGGAACTGGGAATGGGATTGGAAAAAATAACACAGATTATGGAATCCCAGAAAGGTTTGGGTTGGAGGGGAAATTAAACTCATCCAGTGCCACACCTGCTATAGGTAAGGACAACTTCCACTATCCCAGATTGTTCCAACCTGGCCTTGAGCACTTCCAGGGATCCAGAGGCAGCCACAGCTTCCCTTGGCAACCTGTGCCAAGGCCTCCCTACCCTCACAGCCAAGAATTTCTTCCCAAACTCCTATGCTGTCTTGGGAATGCAGGATGTGATGAGAAACCCTGTGCAGCTGGAATGGAAAACAACAAAATCTGTTATGCAGCATGGGAAGCAGCAATGATGGGAACAGTCACTGCTTTAATATTTAATTTGATGAGATTCAGCTCTAAGAAATGGACTGGGAGCTGCCACAGCTCCAAGCACAAGCTCAGCACTGTCAGGGAATTTCCATGGGGTTTGCTCTGCTCCAGACTTATCTGTATTCTGGAAGGGTGACCTGGAACGAGGCTCATTAATTATGCCAGCACACAGAGCTGTGTTTCCTGCCATTCCCTTCAATCAATCAAGCTCTGGACAATTTCAGGGCCTCTTGGACATTGAGTTGTCATTCCAGGTATGTCCCCTCTGCTGGACCCTGGCTCCTGGTCCCTGCAGAGCCACTCAGGTGCAATGAAGTGTCATTTCAGGAGGGAATTTCCTTGTGTCACCAGACAGGGCAGTGCAGATCCCATTCCATCCTCTTACCAGCAGGAACTCCCCATGGCTGTATGGCCTCCTGTGCTGGTGGGATTGGGAGGGGGGAGCTGTGTCAGGCACAAGATGGGTCTCACCAAACATGTCCCTTCTTTGTCCTTTTAGGTGGATGCCACACCTTTTCTGGGACTGAGACTGAGCCAGCAGCAGAGCTGGTTTTCCCTTGTGCACCGTTCTCAGACCTCCAGAAATCCCTTTGCATGCTCCAGAAGGTTTGGGTGTCCTCACCAGGGAGCTGGGCTTTGCGGGAGTCCAGCAGTCACCGCCAGGGCAAGAAAAGGTGCTGGAAATGTAGATTTGTCAGGACTATAATCCAGGTAGGTCATAATTCCTTCCTCGGATGAAACCATCTGCTTTCTATCCTCATCTGCTTCTCTCTGGTCCATCACAAGACTCTGTCCCTGCAGGACACGAGTCCCTCACATCCTCATGGTTGAAGCGTTAGCAGAAGGGATGGATTGGGAAGAAGCCTTTGGCATGCTGATGTTTTAGCTCTGGGTGGCAGACCCCAAACTGTGATCACAACCTTCCCCCTGAGAAGGCTGTGATTACAGGCACAACCTTTTGTGATCATGGCCTCCTGGGACACCTAATTCCATGGGCACATTTGGCTCCACAGGTTCCCTGGGACAAGCACATGTAGGAATGGCACTGCAATGCTTGGGAGCAGTTTCCCAAACCAGTCTGCCCCAGGGATGGTCTTGGTTCTCCTTGCCTTGGCATGGTGACCCTTCCCACCTGCTCTGCCTGGGTCCTTCCCTCCCTGACAAGCCCATGCCTGCACCGTGGGACACAGCCACCCATCCCTTCTCCAGGACCTCTCCTGCTTCCCCCTGCCCGGCTGGGGCCAAGGAGGTGGGACCCCAGATCTTCATCCTGGGGGGAGGAGCCCTCTGTACCCATAGAGGGATTGTCACCAGGCCTATCACCAAACTGCCTTCACCTTTCATTGTCCAAAGCCACATGCCTCCACTTCCCAGTCCTGCTGAGCAATAACTGGCTCCTCCTTTTGCTGTTCCTTGTCTCTCCTTAGCACCCATGTCAGAGGCATGCCCCCAAACGCTCCAGGAAAGAAAGAATGTTGAGGAAAATCCAGATATGCCTCTGTTTCTGCTTTGTCTCGGGCATTTTGTACGAGATCTCCCTCTTGTCCAGCTGTGTCTTCTCCTACTTGCCCGTGGCCCAGCAGTACCTGACACCTGAGCAGGTGCTGAACCTTGGCAAAAGCATCATTTTCCTGGAGACGACGGAGCGCCTGGAGCCGCCCCCACTGGTGTCATGCTCTGTGGAATCCGCTGCCCGGATTTACCAGGACAGGCCCATCATCCTCTTCATGAGGGGACTCACCAACGAGACGGCCTTGGACATGAACACCAGCTACGCAGCCTTCTCCCTCTTGTCTTCCATGAAGAATGTCTTCCTTTTCCCTCTCCAGATGGAAACCATCTTCCAGGAGACCCCCCTGCTCCAGTGGTACAACCAGGTGAGTGTTAAAACAGGTAGAAAATGGGAAAAGAGTGATAACTAGGGATGAGAAAAGGCTTTAAAAGGAATGAGGAATGCAGGACTGTGTGAAATTAGTGACTTTCATTGTTTTGGTTGAGAACGGATTGATTTTGGCCGCTTTCTGCGGTGTATTCAGCTCTCTGTTTATGCCATACATGATCGGCCTTATCTGGAGAATCGGATTTTTTGGCAAAGGAAACATCAGTAAAAATAGATTGCAGACGTGTTTTGAGAAAACAGCCTTAATAATCTTCCCCAACAGAAGCTGGTTGAACAAAATGTGCTGCCTGAACACTTGATAGAGCTGCCTCATTCTGACAGAGCCCGCAGGAGATAAGAGATAGGGGAGAGATTTCAGGTTCTATAACAGCAACATGCAAAGCTAAGGTGGGATCTGGTGAGCTCCACCCTGGAAAAAATTCCTTGGGCAAACTGCCCACAAGGAGCTTTGGTCAAACTGCTTGGGCAGGGCAGGCAGATTTCCTCCAAAGTCTTTCTTATTGTGAGAAAAAATTACTCCAAATGCCAACAAATGCTGATGGAAAGCCTCCAGCCTGTTTCAAAGAGCTGGGAGGGATCCGAGAGTGTGTTAAGTGGGTTGTGTCCCTCTGAAATAGCCGGGAATGACTCATGGAGGCATTGGGTTAACACTGTAGGTGCCATCAAAGCACCTGGGAAAAGTTCCTGCATTCCTAATGCTAACAAAGCGCTGCTCTGCTCCAGCTCCTTATCTTATCCCAGTAAAACCCAACAGCTGGAGGCAGCAAAAGCTGTCAGTGACATTTGCAGCCATGCAGCTGAGGGTTTATGGTGCCATCTGCAGCCCCATGGATGGGTTGGCTCCGTTCCCTGCCCACAACACCACGTCTCACCTTTCCCACCCCGCAGGTGGTCCCGGAGCAGGAGAAGAACTGGGTGCACGTCAGCTCGGACGCCAGCAGACTGGCGCTCATCTGGAAGTACGGGGGCATCTACATGGACACAGATGTCATCTCCATCCGGCCCATCCCCCACGAGAGCTTCCTGGCCGCGCAGAAGTCGCGCTTCTCCAGCAACGGGATCTTCGGCTTCCCTGCCCGCCACAAGTTCATCTGGGACTGCATGGAGAACTTCGTTCTCAAGTACAACGGCAACATCTGGGGCAACCAGGGCCCCTTTTTGATGACCAGGATGCTCAAAACACTCTGCAACCTGACAGATTTCCAAGGCACTGAGGACCACAGCTGCCAGAACATCTCCTTCCTCAATCCTCAGCGTTTCTACCCCATCCCATACCCAGCCTGGAGTCGGTACTACCAGGTGTGGGATAAAAGCCCCAGTTTCAACCACTCCTACGCGCTGCACCTGTGGAACTTCATGAACCGCAACCGTAAGGTCGTGGTGGCCGGCAGCAACACCCTGGCTGAGAAACTCTACAAAACCTATTGCCCCACCACCTACGAGGACCTGATCCAGAATGCCAAGCACAGGGATCTCCCAGGCCTTGAGGAGGCTGAGTGACGTGGAGCAAGGAGGAGAGGGGTGATCCTTCCTGCCAAACACAATCCCCACTCGGTCGGTATCTGGCTTTGTAGGAGAAAGAAAGGACTTTCCATAACCACTGTTCCTATTCCCTTGGGATGCTGAGAATGGTGGTGGGTACCCACTGGGCGTAGCCTCCAAGGACTCCTTTGCCTCAGTTCTGTTTCCTGATAGGTGCTCATGAACCAAACCTTGCCAAATCCGACAGGCTTTGAGCCCGTTCACGAGCTTCTCCAAGAGAAAAGCTCCTAAAGAGAGGGGTGGCCTCCCAGGAGAAATGTTGTCTCTGCTCCTCTTGGAACTACTGGCAGCTTCCCACGTCAGAAAAGTTGGAAGCGCAACAGACTTTGGACTGGAACCTCGGGGCAAAAGAGGAGAAACCCAAACCAGCATCATTACCTGGTGTTTTCCTCACATGGACATTACACCCTACGTTTTTGAGAGGGACTTCAGTACTTCAGAGTGAAAATAAAAGAGTTCATAAACCACCACTCCTCTGAGCTCACTTCTCCCTGAAAAATGAGTCACATTTTCCAAAGGTTTGTGCTCCCACACTTTTACTTTAGCTTTTGCCAGGAAGTGGCTGCTCTGCCCCATCCTCCCAGGTCAATCCTGGCTGTAGAAAGTGTGCCTGGAAAGAAAATGCTGAGACACCAAGGAGGGATAGGGATGGTCCTCCAGGTTCCCAAATCCTTCTTAAATAAATGGATTTCAACAGATGTGAGGTGGTCACCCATGTCCAGCTGGGCAAAAATCCCATTTAATCCCAACAGGGTTCCCAATGAGCAATCCCCTTCCAGATACTCTCTTTCCCCGGAGAATGCCAATCCACCCAATTCCCTAAGGAGAAGCCCCGCTTGTAGATCTCTACCGAGTCTCTCTGAACAGCTGGTTTTAACTCGGGAGCAGAAAGGTGGAGATCTGTCTCCGTCATCCAATGTTTGTCATGTGCACAATGCTATCTCCTGCAAACACAGCAGCGCTGAGCTGGCTGCAGCTCAGAATTTGGGATTCAGCAGGAGAAGGGAGCCCTCTGCACACAGGGTTTGTGTGCTCTTGTGTTTGGGCAAGGGGCTCTTCCTTGCCCTGTGTTCCCCCAAAGTCACTTCAGTGTAAGGCCAGGTGCTGCCAAGCTTAGTGTGGTGATTGTTGGAGCAGGAGCATGACAGAAAGGAATGTTTTTCCTGTGTCCTCACCCCTCCTGTGCCCTCCAGGGCATGCCTGTGGATAGAGATGGACCCATATCCAGGCAACTCTGGGAGCATCTGCTTTGTGGATGTCTGCTCTCAGCTCAGGACACCTCCCACTATCCCAGGTTGCTCCAAGCCCTGTCCAACCTGGCCTGGAACACTTCCAGGGATCCAGGGGCAGCCACAGCTTCTCTGGGCAGCCTGTGCCAGGCCTCACCACCCTCACAGGGAGGAATTCCTTCCCAATATCCCATCTAAATCTACTCTCTGATCATGGATGAGACTGTGGCCATGGCCATAAAAAACCCACAAGGTTGGACAGGGCTTGGAGCACCCTTGGATAGTGGGAGGTGTCCCTGGCCAAGGCAGGGACTGGGACTGGATGGGCTTTAAGGTCCTCTTCAACCCAAACCATTCTGGGATTCCATGATTAAATTATCGAGGGAATTAACACCAGAAATGACTGAAGTTGTGTCCTATCATGGCCATGAGAAGACCCAAAATTGTCACCTGCAGACTTTGTACCTGGTGGCACATCTTCTGCCCTTTGGAAGACATCCCAATGGTGAATAAAAATCCAGGGAGCTTCCCTGGCTGGTGAGGGGAAGAGGTGGCTGCAAACCCATTTTGCCAAGTTCACATCTTCTCATTCCTTTTTTACGTCAGCTTCCATCCTGGGCAACAGCCCTAGGCCATGAACACTCAGGAAAAGAAGAGAAGTGAAATAATAATAATAATAATAATGGGGGAAAAAAAAAAGTCCTTGGCTGATTAAGAGTGTTTAAGCAGATGTTTAACTCTAAGCAGCCTTAAAATATTTGCTGAGTTTAGACTAAGCCTCATTTCAAGCCCCATTTCAAGCCCATCCTGTGATGTTTTACTCTATTTGGCTCTCATTAAACACAAAGTATTACATGAATATCATCAGCATGAGTCACACACTGGGGTGTCACCCATCAGAGCAATGCTTTAAATTCCAATAGTGAGCATCTTTTCCTTGTCATCAGATCTGAGTGACACATGGGGTGTGACAGGATGGCACCTGATGGCAGGTGATTGTGTTGTGGGAAGGAAAAGCCCTCAGCTGGCCCCTCTCAGGCATGGTCAGCTGAAGGAGCGCTGCTCTTGGGGAATCTCCGTGCTCAATTTGCTCTTTTCTGCTCTGGTTTTGAATGCATTTCATAATAATGTTCTGCAGAGAGAAGAAAAATTGCCAAAATTTACCAAATAATGATCTGTGATGCCCAGTCTGTTTCTGTACGGATCCAACTGCTCTCAGCAAGCAAAGCTGAAGGTAATGATGGCATTTTGAAGTGAATCAATTTGGATACAGATACATTTTTCATAACTTCCATCCCTTCAGAGCACAATCTCTGTCTCCCTCTCTAACAGCCATGGAGCCCTGCAGGGAGCTGGCTGTGTTCCCCTCATATGAGCCATGGGCTGGACACTTCCAGTCCTTCCACTGTCAGCACAGCTCACAAACCAAAATTGTCCCTTGGCATCGCAGCCAGATCCCAAAGGAATGAGATTTCCATGAGATTTCCAGCAAGTTTCACAGCAAAGGGACGACCTTGCCTCCTTCAAACTATGCTAATTGTTATCTGCATACAAACAAGGAGCTCTGTGCCTCTGGGCCTGCTGTGGATCCTCCAGTGCAGTCCAGGAGAAGGAAATGGGGGATTTCTGCTCCCTAAGGCAGGCAGAAAATAAAAACAGTCCTAATACAGGGTTGGCTGCTGGCAATGCCCAAGGGGGGCATTGTGACCCCTTTGACATCCTCCAGCCAGTGGCCTTGAGCTCAGGGGTTGTTCTCCAAGGGCTGGTGCCATCCCCTAAGGACAGTTGTGTCCCTGCTTCCACATAGGAAAAGCAGGGGTGGATCAGGACTTGTTTCCATGCTGGGGCCTCAGCTCCTTTCTGACCCTCACAGGCCTTTTCTCCCTGCAGGGACCCAGGAGCTGACCAAAGTGGGGAAGGTCCATCAGGTGGTGCTGGAGCTGGGCCCATCCCTGTCCCCAGAGCACCAGGATGAAGCTGGCATCGGGCTCGGGGAGCTGTGGGTGGGGATGGGTGCTGGGCAGAGCTGCTGGGGGCACAGGGGGCATGAATCCCCTGGTGCCCTTGGCTGGGCAGCTCCATGGCCAGTGCTTCCCTGGGAAAGCTGCCCCAGGCAGCTGCTGGGTGCTGGCTGGGATTTTGGGAAAGCTGTGGGCAGGAATTAATCCAATTAGGGGAGAAGGTTGCTCCTTTGTGAGGGATGTAGGCTGTGAGAGCAAATGGTTCCTTGTCTGGGACTGCTGGGACCCACCAAGGGGGAGATGGTCCCCCAGCCCCTGCCCAGTCCTCCCTGCCCTGGTACCAGCACCCACCTTGGGGAGGACCAACAGGGAAGATGCTGAAAGCCCTGCAGAGGAACCCAAACCCCCCAGGAGCAGTGCCACCCCATGCAGGAGCAGTGTCACCCCATGCAGGAGCAGTGCCACCCCATCCTGGAGCAGTGTCACCCATCCTGGAGCAGTGTCACCCATCCTGGAGCAGTGTCACCCATCCTGGAGCAGTGCTACCCCATCCTAGAGCAGTGTCACCTTATCTAGGAGCAGTGCTGCCCCATCCAGAAGCAGTGTCACCCTATCCAGGAGCAGTGTCACCCATCCTGGAGCAGTGTCACCCCATCCTGGAGCAGTGCCACCCCATCCTGGAGCAGTGTCATCCATCCTGGAGCAGTGTCACCCCATGCAGGAGCAGTGTCACCCATCCTGGAGCAGTGCCACCTCATCCTGGAGCAGTGCTATCCCATCCTGGAGGATGTGCTGGAGGAAGGGCTGGAGAGCCTGTGGGTTAAAAGGGCACATCTGTCCTTCCAGTGCCATCAGCCCAGAACTGCTCCAGGGATGCAATAACTGCTCCAAAGTGTGGGGGTTTTGGTTTTGTTTTTTTTTAATTGAGGGAGCAACCCAAAACAGCAGTAAAAACCCACCCATCTGGAAAAATCCCCCTCTGAGAGGCAGGTGGCATGGTGGAGGCAGAACCATAATGTCACACAGACAATACACTTCCCTGCTCCCACCTCCGAGGCTGATTTCAGGATCTCTCCAGCAAATCTGCCTCTCCAGCAGCCTTTCCTGCGCTAAATTACCCAGGGCTCCTTCTCCCTGAGGGAAGGAGGGTGTGTGAGGGCACACACACATAATTTGCGCCATTCCTTGTATGAAATATATGATGTTGAATACTTCACCATCATATATGTTGGTCGATGATATTAGATTATACTCGTTTGTACTAGGCTCCCCCCACCCCGGCGAGACCTGGTGTATATTGGAACCCGATTTACAAGTAAAAGGATGTGGCTCAGCCAGGAGGTGGAGATGTCTGGAGAGATACCGGATGCCCAGGCACTGATCATCGCATAAACAACCAGAGATGGATCTCATGGAAATCCTCGGGCAGATCCATGTGAATGCAGGGTTCCTGTAAATTCCATCAAGGGATTCAACAACTCCGGACACTGAACTGTTCTTCCTCATCACCAAAAACGAAAATCTTATTAAGCTATGGACTCTGAATAGAAGAAAAGACTGACTGCCGAAATCTTGGCCTCAGGTGGAATTTTCCCTATAAAAACTGCTTGTGCCAGGCTGGAGGTGTGTGGGCATAGGGGAAAACCTCTGCTGAGGCTGACTTCTTGTTGCACACCCAGGGCTGACCCCGAGCTCGGCACTGTGTTTTATTTTCCTTGGCTGGCTAGATAGAATTTGACCATTAATAAAACTATTTTTATTTTTAATTCGGCTGAATAAATTTTCATTTATAACACCTCCGTGCTCCAGGGCAGCGCTTCAGCTTCGGGGCCAGGAGCACGAAGGAAAACAGAGTAACTCCGTGACTTATCCCTCAATGTTTCCTGGAGATGTTTTTAAGGAGCATTCCTGAGTTTGTTTCACTGATGGCACATCCCCCTATTCCTGGAGCATCCCCTTTTCCCTGGCACATTATTTGGGAATGCTGAGGGGGTGTGGGAGGCAGCAGAGGTGCCCAAAGCCAGACCCACCCCCCCACCTTCACTTCTCATATTTTACATTCCCAGGACATCCCTGGTCACAAAACTCCCTCGAGCTGTAAATAGCTCCCAAGGGAAAATGCTGCACATACCTCACAGCCTGAAAATTCCCAAAACTGACTCTTCAGCTGTGAGTTTCTGGGCCCTACGCTGGGCAACTTCTTGAGGGCTCCCCTGACAGGGGGAAACTCTCTTGAAGCAGTTTGTTGTCAGGAAAAGTAGACACACAGGACTTTTTTGGTCTTTAGATTCTTGTTTTATTGCTACCTTATCATGACTTCAGTACACTGTCTGCATTTAGACTTTGCATGCGTGAAAACAGCATAAAAATGGCTAACAAACTTGTGCTGCAAGGTCTTTTTAAGTCTAATCAAAAACTAAACTACCCAATTAAGAAGTGACA